TGCTCTTCCCCATCCTGCTGTCTAGAATACAGATGTGAAGGCTGGAGCACTCGCAACCATGGAAGACCAAGAGGCGAGAGCGCACCAGCCTAGAAGTGCAAGAGCGGCAAGCAAGGGGGACCCCGGCAGCGCTGCGCCTTTTCTGAACAATTGCTCTTCCCGCTGTGCTCACCCAGACCAAATTCCCGCAGATGCTGTGCTTCATGCACACTCACAGGCCCCCGGACGAGTGACCCTGTCCAAAACATGTCAGGAAACAGACACGCTTTTACAGGGCGGGACACCATCTTTCCTTAACACGTACCTATGCACCGGTAGGCAGGAGCCTCTCTGCCAGGGAACTGTCTACTCCAGAACCTGGACGCGATGAGTCCTGTCTGAGAAAACGCGTGAACTAGGAATTGCTACTTGGTTGCATCCACAGCTCTCTGCTTGTCGAGAGCTGACGCAGGTGCTCTGAGGCCGCTTGCGTGTCTTGGCTGTTGGCTCCGAACTGGAGGGTCTGGGGCAAGGCTTGTCCCGCCGATGCTGCCTGCTGGTGCAGGGAGTTGAAGAGGCGCAGGCACTGGCACGCTAGCGCGGGCTCCCCCAAGCTCTGCTTCCTAGCAGTGATTAGCCAACAAGTGCCGTGCGTGTGCCGGCCCTCCTGAGGGGTCCTAACAGGTCCTACGGAGGTGGGTGATAACTACTTGTGTCCCTCAAGGGCCATCAACCCTGACAGCTGAGGCACCCCTGACCACCCCGGACACTGAGAGGACGCGGCGTGAGGGCCGCTGCCTCAGGCCAGGCCAGTACCTATGTTAGCCTGGCATGCAGAAGGCTTTCTAACCAAGACACCAATTGAGAAGTTGTAAAACCAGACAGAAATGTGACTGTCTAGATGTCACCCAGAGGCATTCCCAGTATGGGCACTTCCGCCCCGGCGAAGCATTTCCAGTGATCTCCAGGAATTACAAAGACATAGAGATGCATTCAACAGTGTAGCTGCAAACATGTTCCCGATCTTTTTTGTTTAGTTGCAAACAACTGGAAACACTGTAAATATTCAAATGAGCGGACCCATTTCACGAAAGCGAGAATCGGAATTCAGTGGATCCCTGTAACCCAGAGCACAGCGTTCACCGCTGTGTGGGCAGCTGCGCTCTGTTACTGGGAAGTAACAGTGGCGGCTCCAACGTGCTGTTGGCTCATGGTGATTAAAGATGGGCCCCATCGTGCACATGAGGGCGCTGTCCCCTCGGTGTTCCAGGGAACTTCCCGGCTGGGGGAGGACAGATTCTTTATCCTCACTCTGCTCTTAAATGCCTCCTTGAGTTTCTTCCATGACCAATCTCCACTTTGTAGTAAGGATAAGAAGACACAAGTCATTAGACGGAAGCAATTCACCTGCCCCACGGCCACTGCTGTCCGTCTTGATTTGGTGGCAAGCCCAAGGTGACAGGTTGTTACATGGGTCTTGGCGCTGCAGGCTGTCAGGGAGTGATTCCTCTGATCTGGGCGTCTCCTGACTTGGGGCTGCGGGCTGTGTGGGGATCAAGGCGCTTCTGCTACCTCAATATCCCAGGTGGCAGAGCAGTGCCCTTTCCACGGCCGAGAGGAGACTGCTCATCGCAGAGGCCAGGCTTGGCAGCAGCTCCCGAGTTTTGTGGGGGCGGGGGATGGGGAAGGGCTTTCTCATGCTGACCACGGAAGGCATTACCATGGGGGAGCAGGGGGTGCTAGACTCAGGCAAGCCCGAGCCTCTCCCAGGACGGGCTCAGATTGGAGAACTTGGGGCACTGTGGGAGATTAAATGGAAGATGGGACTGGAGCCGAGACCCAGGGACCCTTGGAATGGATATAGGTAGAGATGGGGGAGAGGGAGGGAGACAGGGAGAGAGAGAGGCAGAGGGAGAGAAAGAAAGAGGAGGAGGTGGAGGGGAAAGAGGAGAAGAGGGGGAGAGGGAAGGGACAGGAGTGCAAAAGAAGACTAGGAGGGTGGAAGGAAGGAAAGGCAGAGAGGAGGAGAGAGCAGGGTAGGGGCAGAGAAAAAGAGGAATGGTTAGGAAGGGAAGAGGTACAGGGACAGGTGAAGCAGTGGGAGGTGGGAGGACCACGGGCGGGGCCAGGGGGCCCAGGAGAGGCGCAGAGTCACTGGAGACACCTCCAGCTCCGTGCGCCTGGCGGCAAGGCTCCCTGCAGAACACGGCCAGGACTCAGGATTGTCAGGACTGGCGGGGTGGCGGCTGGGCCAGCCTGCGCCCATTCTGTACCGAGTCAGCTATATTCAGGCTATCCTTGAAAACAAGGTGAGAGTTCCCAGACGCGGTTCCTCCCTCTTCCAGTGCCAGCTCCCCAAGCACAATCAAAGTACTGGCAACAGCGCAGCTCAGGGGGTCACTGCGCCTGCCTGAGAAATCCAGGGGCCAAGAGAAGACCATGAGAAAGCCACTGCTTCGCCGGGCTGTCCAGGTGGCCCTCTCACTCTATGCTCACACAGACCCCACCCCCAGGACTTTTCAGTGTGCAGGAGCAAAGGGGGCAAATCCTTGCCGGAGTTCTCAGGACTGTGGCCCTCCAGTCAGGGCCAGTGCCATCCTCCCTGCCTGCAGTGGAGAACCTGTGGGGCAAAGGAGGGCAGGGAGGGACCAAAGCATCTTGACTTCAAGACCACTCCGCTCCAGGACTGGCCCATCCTCCTGCTGTTTGGGGACTGTGACCCTCCCCGCTGGCTCGGCACCAACTACACCTAGTACTGGTTGGACTCTTCCCAGGGAGGACACAGCTCTTTCTGCAGGGAGACTGGCTGGGTGCTGAGGTGGCCTCTTTTCTCTATGGACACAGGTACAGCTGAGGGTAGAACGAGGCTGGGGAGAAGCAGAGTGGGGGACCCTGGCACCAGCGCCTGGGCTCCGGGGTGTTGGTGCTGGGCCATGACTTGCTGACTGGGGGACTGCACAAGGCACTCTGGCACACGTCACCTGTGATGGTGGCCACACCTCTGAGGACTGGACTTCCGGAGAACAAGGAGCTCTGTAGACACCACAGCTGCAGCTGCCCTGTCTCACCTCTAGTCATGGGCAGGGGCTGCTGACCACCTTCTCCTCCACCTCCTCCTTCCTCTGCACTCCTGAGGAACGGTGGGGCACCTGTGCCCGCCAGCTCCTGTGCCTCAGAAGCGGATCTTTCGGTCCCTCTGTGTCCTGGGTCTTACCAGCCCTTCTCCCCTCCAGGTGGGGTCCATCTGGTACCTCCATTTGTGGGAAGAATACTTGTTTCCTATACCACCAGGCTCTGTGTGCCAGAGCTCTGGGGCCTGTCTGAGTTTGCAACATGGACTCAGCCAACATGCATCTGATCGGGCTGGTACCAGGCCTACTTCCCAGCCTGCGATCCCTGGACCTCCACTCCGGGACCCCTCAGTCTCAACACCACAAGTCTGTACCAAGATTTTGCTCCAGCACAGCAGGAGTGAGGGTGACAGGCTGGGTGAGTGGTGAGGAATAAAAGGCAGGCGGAGCTGGCCTGCTCTCCCTGGGAACCTTGACACGCTAGCCTTTCAGCTCTTGTCTGGAGCCCCAAGGACATGCTGGTTCCAGTGTGAGCACGCATTCTTCTACCCTATAAATGACCCATCATCTCACCCATCACATTCCCCCACCCTGGCCTTAGAGAACCTCAATGGACTCGGCTCCAGCTCTGTCCCCTCAGTGGGGCCCGGAGCCTGTCCCGTATACCCTCTTCCATCCCTGGCAGCATCTCACATGGTGACAGCAATGGCAGCCCAGGGCTGAGCAGCAGCAACTCCATTTCCACTCACTTTGTCCCCCTCAGGAACCCCCACTTGCACCTCCTATTGTAGTGATACATAACAACAGTTAAGCTCCCTAAAGGCACCCTAAATGTGTCCACATGCCTGGTGACTTGTTAAGCTAAAGGTTTCCCAATCTGAGTGCATAAGCAAAGCTTTCTCTCTGATGCTTAAATTGCATATTTCCTTCACTAGATACCAAGAAAAGCGAGAAGGGGAGAGAAAGAGAGGAAAGAAGGCTGGCTGCTTCAGTCTTGTTAATACAGGCCTCGGCATTGTGTGCCCAGTTATCTAGTTCATTGAGCATTTCGGAAAGTTTCATTGTAAGATAAACCCACTTTTGAGATGGGAAAGGAGCCCGGCTTCTTCCTGTCTGCTTGCTCCACCATTTTAGGTGTTTCTGAGCAGAGTGATGAGGCACATGTCTGTCCTACACGTGCCTGGTGTTGAGCCTTTTTGTCTTTGATAAGATTCGACTTTGGACGGGAAGATTCAGAACCCTCCTGTGCAGGGACAGCGTGTCCCGAGACCTGCGAACTGATGTCATCTACTATGGCTCTGTGTGCCAGGGCCGCCGGGGCATGCTGTTCCCTGACACCTGATGGCCACAGCCATGGCCGTGTAATCAGGTCTCATTGTGAGCACACCCAAGCGCTGAGCAGAGCTTAAGAAGCACTGCTCTGCCGCCCACCAGGAAGCCCCAGCACGGGGTGGCAGGCAGGGGCTCTGGACCACTCAGGGCCAGCCAGGTGGCACTCCGCAGACGGGGAGGGGGAGGGGTTAGTAGCCTGTCCTGTATCAATCCTGATGCCCCTGCTGCCATGCTGGGCAGGCAGGAGTGAGCTCTGGAGCCTGTCTGAGTTTGCAACATGGACTCAGCCAACGTGCATCTGATCAGGCAGGTACCAGGACACACAGGCCACCTTCCTAGGACACAGGAAGCTGGACAAGACGGCTTCCTTCTTTTTCCCTGGTGCTGGCAGATCAAGGTGGCCCCTTGTAAGCACAGCCCGGAGGCCTCTGTCCTGCTGGGCTGGAGTCAGGGATGGGGACCTACAGCCCCATCTGCCAGCCTGTTGATCACAACCCCTTCTCACGGCACTCTCTTCCCCTGCATCCAGGCCACCAAGGTTAGCTGAGTGGTACTTGGCTGCTGGGAGCAGCTTCTGATACCAGAAAGGCAAAGCAGCCCTGCCCGCCGCTCACCTACCTGATGGTCTGGTGCTGCAGGGAGTCGGGGTCCGTGGCGTTCACGGTCAGCAGCACGCTGCCCACTGAGACGTTCTCTCGCTTGGTCACCATCATGGGGTCTGGATAGAAGACCGGGCCCTCGTTGACATCCAGGACGGTGATGTGGACAGTCGCCGTGGAGCTGGGGCCATAGGAGACATCAGGCACCAGCGGGTCCTCATTCTCCACTTTGATCAGCAGGGTGTGGAAGGCAGAAATCTCATAGTCGAGGGGCTAAAAGACAGATAGAGGGACACTGAGATTTGCATGGGCTTTGGAGGGTGGGTGGTTTCTAGACAATGTCCTTGTGGGCAACAGTGGGTGTCAGCACCTGGGTGCTGTGGCCTAAGCCTTACATGGCGTGAGAAGGGCCCTCTTTAGGAAGGAGGCTCAGGTTTATCTTTTTTTACAACTGAGTGATACTTCATTGTATAAAATGCCACATCTTCTTCATCCGTTCCTCAGTTGATGGGCATTTGGTTTGTTCAAAGGAAAGGAGAAAAGAAAGAAAGAAGGAAGGAAGGAAGGGAAAAAGAAAAACACATGCACATGCACAGGATAGCTGGGATAATTGTGCTGCTGATTTCTGCTGGTCTCCTGAAAGGAGCAGTTAATGCTGAAATTGTTTTTCTCTCTTTTTAATTTTTGACCACCTTTGCATGCTTATATCTGGCAGTCTGAACAACTAACTTGAAGACACCAACACGCAATATAATGGGTTGGAAACATGCAAACACAAACTTGGGTGTGGATACTATTGATGATTTTTAGTTTGTGAAATAAATAACCACCTGTGACTTGAGCCACGGAGATCTGGGTTTTTGTCTTCTGAGACTCCTAAAGGTGGCTCCCCGTCAATGCTGATGCCAAAATCTTCCTGCCTATTACCCGTGACTCTTAACACCCTGGGGCTGGGTAAATAAGAGACCCTGAGGCCCAACCTTCATTAGCATCCTGGTGAGAGGATCCTGCATCGGTTGCTATGGGAGACCAGATGGCGCTAGCAAATCAGCACCCACCCTTTCTTTTATCTCTCTCTCCCTCCTCCTTCCATTTCCCCTCTTTCCTCCTCCCTCTCTTCCTCACCTCTCTCTCTGCCTGCCTGCCTGCCTGCCTGTCTGTCTCTCCAGTCCCTTTTATCTTGAGGCTGAGTCCAGGCTGGCCTCCAATGCCCACAGCAGCCCACCTGGCCAGGTTTCCCTCGTAGCACTTTTCCCACCTGCCCTGAAGCCTGAAGCCCAAGGCTCACAGCGCAGCCTCTTCCAGCCTAAGCACAGTTTCCAGTTGGGAGTGATGCAGGAAGTGGGCTCACGAGTTGAGGTACACCGAGGAGCACATGGAAGTGGGGGCTCCACAACCACAGAGTGGGCAAAGGAGGAGAAGACAGTAGACAGCCATGCCAGGAAGGAAGAGTCCCACGCAGTGCTCGTGGTCCAGCCCCAGGGAAAGTAGCAGCCATGAAGAGGAGCAGGGGGCTTTGGGAAGGGGCTGGTGGCACACGCTCCTCGGGCTGCCACGTGGGCTACAGCAGACAGCGTCAAGGCAACCTCATTGCGAGCAGGCTCAGTGGGGCTATCCTTCCTTGAATGTCAGGCTCTTCCCCAACCCCCAGAGCCACCTCATGCAGTGAGTGGCATTTCCCAGAACAGGCTCCAGTTGCTGAGCACACCTGGGGAGACATTGAGGCAAGACAAGGGCGAAGTCTGAGCTCCCACAATTATCTTCCTGACCTTCACTGGGAAAACCAGCAGGGAACTCTTCAGAGCCAAGGTGCAGGGGGCGTCCCCACTGGAGGATGAAGCAGGCAGGGGCCACAGGGGTGGGGATGGGGGAGTGAGGTGGGGCAACGGAGGTCCCAAATGGGGAGCAACCAGCAAGGCATGGGGCTGCGAGGGGTGTGGGAAAATGGACAAGATGCAGGGGGTGGAGGCTGAGGGAGGAGGGTCAGAAATGGGACCCGGCAGGCCAGGCCAGGCACCTGCAGCAGCTTATGCTATCTTTCATAGTACCCATGGATAAGATATATCCAGTGTGTAGCATTTCTTTCACGCATGAGAGAGCCCCCCGCCCCACACATGGGGTGCTTGCTTAAATTTTTAAAAACTTACTCCAGTAAAAGACACACCACCAACAACCCTTCTCAAAGCCCTTCCCCTCACTTTGTGCCCTATCCGTTGCTCCTGACACTTTCTGAAGCAGCCTTGGTGTCCTCTTTCATGAATGTCCTTATGACGTAGGCAGCAAATGCATCCCGTGATTGCTGCCGTGAGGGCCGACAACTGGAGGGCAGGGTGCAGGCGCTTTTCACTGTGTCTGTCCACCTGCCCACCAGATGTGGCGCCAGGCGGCTGCTGGCTCTTCCCTAAAGTCAAAGTGATCGTCAAAGGCTAACATTTTGAGTTGATTCAAGGCGTCAAGCAGCCATGGCAGCACAGCTCAGACACTCATGAGAGAAGACGTCCAGAACTGCTTCAGAAATGGTGAGGACGGCGGGCTGAGTGTGCTCCCAGCAAGGGGAGGCTTTGGAGGGAGCGCAAGAACAACATGGATTTTTTTAAAACTGTAATAATTTTTTTAAAAATTTGAACATACACTGTGTTTCTGGTCACACTGCACACACCCAGAAACCCTGGAAGTGCTTTCTGGCTGTGCCTACGCCCTTCCTTCACCCTCAGCACCTCCTGGCAGTGTTGGTGTCAGGAGTTTAAGAGTTAACAGGTGCGTTGCTCTCTGTACCTGGTGGCTGCTCGGGTACATTTGGTTCCATCCCTGCCACAAGAATAACTCACTGTTCTTCTTTTCCTTGGACTCTAATAATAGATTTCTGTCCATCCTGAGTGATACACAGTCTTGGTTAAGTAAATCTGAGATGAGGGCCAGGGAGCTGCCAGGCTTGGAAAACAGCCATTCATCCCCCCTGTGGTGTTAGAGCAAATGCACACCTGGCTGGCTGGCCGGCTGGCGGCAATGCTGAGGGTGCGAACTGCAACAGGACTGAGGCACAGAGTGCCCCAGTGTCCCAAGAGCCTCTCCAGCTCTTGGGAGCATGGGGCAAAGCCGGTGGTACAACCTGGAGCTGTGGGGCCGTAGAGGATGCCACTCCCCAGAGCACGTCTTTCTAGAAATAAAGTTAATGAAAATTTGCTGGGGATGTGGAAGCTCCAATCTAGTTCCACTGAACTCTCCACTGCTCTGCAATGCCTCTGGAGTGGAATTTTCTGAGTTTCTTAGCCCAGCAGAGCTCTTACCACATGGCTGAGCTTGGGTAGGTGCTTTGGGGCCAGTATGGTCAGCGGGTGCTCAAGCAGTGTGGCACAGAGGGACCAGGCCAGGGAAATGAGCGAGGGGATGATGCATAGGCCACCTCCTGGGCGCCTTTCATCACTAGGATACTGGCCCATGTGCTCCTCTCACACCTGGGAGCCGCAGCTGTGGCCCAGTGCAGGGCCCGGGCAGGGAGCAGCTGTGTGCAGTTTGCTCGCGTCTGACTTTCCCTACATCATAGCAAATACATGCTGGGACTCTGAGCTCTCCAGGATTCTTGCCCGAGATGCATGTGCGCTCAAGCTGCCTCTCCTGGTTGCATGGTCAGCAAAGTGACAACTTTCAGACACCCAAGGATGGCTTCATAGGACACAGTCATAGCCCTGTCACTCAATGACCTTCATAGCTTTGCAAGAGCACCTGGGTGCAGAAGCTCAGTGTCAAGGTCAACCTTGCCATTACTCTGATGTGGGGGAAGAAAGAATTGACAGTAAATGATAGGGCTCAAGAGAAATCCCAACTCTGTGTCCTCCAGAACCTGTGAGATCTGCCATTCCCACAGGCAGCCAGCCCTGCCATCCATCCCTGGGAACTGGGGGCCCAACTGTTTTCATGGCTCATGATATGTCACATTCTAGTCTCTGGAGTTTGTGCATATCAACCTCACATGGCAAGGAGGATTTTGCAGAGTGACTGAAAACACAGAGATGAGTTTCCTGGATCATCCAATGGACCCAATAGAGCGAGGTCTCCATCAAAGGCGGAAGTGGGAAGGGAGTTCAGAGGAGGGAGGCTTGGGAGGAGCAGAGGACTGGGCAGAGCGAGGCTGAAGGGGCTGTCGGCTGTAGGATGGAGGAAGGAGTGACCAGGAGCCCTGGACGGCAGGCACTTCCCGGGAAAGGCAGGTGCCAAGGGGAACCACTCACACTGCTTCAAAGCTCAGGGGCATCCAAGGACACCAGAGGCCGTGACCCTGCTTGTCTAGCTCAGGCCAAAGTAGCATACAGTTTTGTAGCCATGACTTCACACAGGTGAACACACATGTGCTGGTTGTGACTCTATGGAGGAATGTAGATATGAGGTAACAGCCTGTATAAGAATTGTACAACAAGGATGCAGGCGGCTCTCGCCCATGTGCTCTTGTGCTCTGCTCTGCTCCGTGATGCCTGCTGCCAGGGCTGTTGGCTCACACACACGCATTCTTCAGCCTTGGGACCTCACCCTTGAAAACCTTCCTTGAGCCTCCCTCCCCGCCCCCCAGTGGGGCTGACAGCACAAACCAGATTCTCCTTGGGACTTTTACACTATGGACGCATCTGAGCTCAGTGAGACCTGTGTAGGGCTTCTGACCTTCAGAATTGTAAGACAATGAATTTGTGCTCTTTATGTGCCCTAAAATTTTGGTGATTTCTTATAGCATCAATAGGAAACTAGTACTGGCTAAAGGTGGCAGTCACAGCTGAAAACCTGGTCCATATTAGCTCATGAAATCCTTACAACTCCTGTGGGCTGAGCCTGCACATTGAAGCCATAGTGGCCCATGTGAGGGCCTAAGGAGATGGAGCTGTTGGAGGGGCCTAGACCATGAGGAAGAGTCCTCAGGGACATAATAGAGATTCTAGCCAGTGTGGGGTTGCGTGCCTGTAATTCCAGCTACCTGGGAGGCTGAGGCGGGAGGACTGCAAGTTCAAGACCAGTCTGGTCAACTTAGCCAGACTATGTTTCAAAATGTGTAAAGAGACTGGATGTGTAGCTTTAGTACTCCCAGGGCTCAGTTCTGAGAGAGGGAGGGAGAGCGGGAGAGAGAGACAGAGAGACAGAGACAGAGAGACAGAGACAGAGAGAGGGAGAGAGAGACAGAGAGACCAAGACAGAGACAGATAGAGAGACAGACACAGAGAGACAGAGAGGCAGAGAAAGAGAAAAAGATGAGGAAACCGAGGCCCCCAAATGTGATGAGGCGCTCGGCCACGGGCAGCTGGGCACAGTGGGCGCTGCGGCTGTAAAAGTTCTTCCTCCTTGCTTGGAGGTCAGTGGCTTCCGTCACTAGGAAAGCAAGCATGTGCCAGCGAAGGTCCTGGTTTCCAGCAGAAACTCTGCCCAGAGCTTCCCGGAGTGCAGAACGGCACAGACCACCTTCCTCTGTGGCTGGAGACACGGACACTGTTACCTCCTCTTACAAATGTCTCTGGGGGTCCAGGCGCCCCAAGGGCTTTGGGAGCACACCCTGCCTTGCTCTCTAGGCAGCCAGAGAGAGGGGCCATGTTCAGGCCAGTGAGGCTCACAAGAGGTTTCCCCCAGAGATTGTTTCGAGTTTGTTTTTAAGAGAACAATGGAGAAAGATTAAGATGAAACCTAACAGCCCACATTCAGAGTACAGGTCTTTAAATCATACCCACAAGTTCCATTTTTGCATTTCTTTTGACAATTCACTAGCGGACTTGAGAATTTCATTCAGTACTTAGTTTGCCCAGAGCCGCCCCGAAGCTTGGGTTTGCAGACCCCATTAGAAAGACCTGGGGAGCAGTGGCAGGCTTGTGGGGCCGAGAACGCACAGCCCCGGCTGAGCCCTGAGCCAGCTGCTCTGAATTCCCAGAGGGAGTGGAACTCATTCACGACCTTCAGCGCCTGGGGACCTTCTGCATGCCTTCCAGGCCCCAGGGATGCCCAAGGAGCTGCCTTACCTTGACGACGGACAGCATTCCCTCATTGGTCTGTGGGTTGGTGTGGATTTCAAAGCTCTGCCCAGGGTTGCCGTTGATGATGGTGTAGGCTGCCCGCCACGCGCCCGTGGTGGGGTCGTCCTTGTCCTCCACCGTCAAATTGACAATAACCCCCACAGCTCCTTCCTCCACTGTGGCTTGAAACTGCCAACAAAGCAGACAGTCACTGTCACTATTCTGGAGATTACACGGCCAGGACCCTGCATGAGCTTCCCGTATGCAGGGCCCTGCCTGCATTCCGTACATCGGCTCACCTGACTGCAGCGTAAGCAGTCAGACAGGAGCACCACAGCCCAGAAGGTGCCACAGCCCGGCTCTCAGCCTCCTCTGGACTTGGGTGACACCTGGAGGCTACCTTCCTTCTTGTGGGGAGAGGTGGGCAGAAGACGCGAGGCGCGTGCGGGGGGCAGAGGGTGAGAGAATGGGGGCACCACCTCCTGTCTGTGTCTTTCTTCCTCTGCTGGCCCTGTGTGCCCACGACCGCTGGGCCAGGGGGAGCAGGGATCCAGAGGGAAGCGGCTAGGACCCTGAGTCTCCGGAGGAGGGGGCGGCTCCTGGCCAGGACACCACCTGTTTGAACTACAGCGGATCAAGAAACTCCCGCGGAGTGCGAACTATTGCATTTTTATCTTTGCATTTGTTCCTGCAAACTCGCCCGCCCTGAACAAAGGAAGATCAGATAAACAGAGCGCAGCAGTCTGGTGAAGGGCTGGGCTTGAGCACAGTGCTGGCCTCCAGATCCTCTTTCGACCTGACCCTTTTTTCCACTGTCCTCTTTCTGACACTCTTGCCCGCAGCTCGGATCATGAGGGAACCACTTGCTAAGGGCGCCTCGGGCTGGGCAGCTGGGAGCTGTCCCGCTTGTGTTCTGACTGTACTAAAGCTCAAATACTTGTTGCAAGTAGGTGAAAATCAAGAAATGAAGAGTCAGCTTTCCATAGAGAACCTCGTGAGCTGTCGTCACCGTGTGCCCTTTGAGCTGGAAGCGTAAAGCGCTGTGTTGGTCCTTACCTCTGATACACTGCAAGCGAACAGCGGTGTGTTTACAAATATTTTATAAACCTATAAGCTGACAAGATGAAGAAATATCTTTGACTTTCAATCAGTAGGGAAAGGGAACCTAGAGAAGTTAAGATGATGTCAAAAGCCTTGCATTTAAGAGAAGTAATTTGAGAAATGAGGTTTCAAAAGTGGTCCCTGATTAATTGACTTGCAGATCATTAATCATAAGCCTCAGTGTTGTGTCTTGCGGGGAAGGAGTGGGGATGGGAGCTGACTTGTCCTTCGGAGCTTGGCAGACCTGGGTGGGCTGTCTGTTGTAGAGGGGAAGGAGACCGAGGATTCTCACAGTGAGCATGCAGGATGGAAAGTCTCAGGGAGACAGATAGGGAGGATACTGCCTCGTAGACAGGGCTCCACCCCCAGCTACTGTGACCTGATTCTTCGGATTCCTACTTAAGGAAGCGCAGTCGGTCTTATCTCTTGTATTTCCTTCCTCCCAAAAATAAATTACATAATTATAAAGCAGGGAAACCAGACGTGTGGTTCTCAGCCCTATCTTCTCATTAAAATCTCCCATGGGGTTTTAAAAAAAAAGCCCTGGGTCCCGTTCCAGTTCTACTGGTCCTGGAATAGAGAAACACGATGAAGCCCAGATCTATGGATGACAAGTTGGTGTCAACAAAATTGCCCATGCTGGGTGGCAGGCAGGGTGGCCTGAGCCTTGGGCACTGTGATCAATTATTTCTGCCTGTCATGTGCCCAGGAGGGGCCTTGGTGACACATATGCCATCTAATCCTTTAGACTGCAGAAAAAGATGATCGTGCAGAATGGAAAGGAAGGGAGATGCTTGCTCCAAGTCCTGTGGTGTGCCGAAGGTCACATTCCTGCATTCTAGGCATCCCTGCTCATAGTACGTTCTGCCACTCAAGCCAAGCCAAGGTGCCCCTGCCAATCACTCAGCCACGCTGTGTTGCAGAGCCAGAGGCCTGGGGCTCTACCCCACTGGTCACAGTGGGCAGCAGCTTGTTACTGTCCTGCTGCTCTTCCAATACCCGTACTCTAGGAAGACAGGCAGATCACTGCATGGGCCTGGCATATGTGCAGGCTGGAGGGTGAGGACCACCACCAGTCAGCAAAAAATGCTGCCCACCTGATGCCTAGGTGGGAAGATGCTTGGTCAAAGTAGATGGTGCCACACTGTTAAGATGAAGGCACTGTGACGGCGTGTGAGCTAGTGGGGACACGATCGCCTGGGGTGCTCTTGGCTTTAACTGCAGCTCCTTACTTAATGCTGGGTACATGGAAGAGCCTGGTGTACATGTGCGGGACAAATGGATGAATGGCCTCAGATATAGGAGGTAGAGAGAGGTGAGGGTGTGGAGAGAGTAGGCTGAGACTGAGGGGCTGACACACTGACTAGTGCAATTCTGCCAATTGCCAGCAGGCCCCAGAAGACGTAGTGGATGGATTCCCTGTTCTCTACCAAAAGCTGCAGGAGGACCTCTGGGGACCCTCAGGATATTTCCCTTCATTGGCTACCCCCACTATAAAACTTTTTAAATTGGATACAGTGTCTTACTATGCAGTTCAGACTCAGTGATCCTCCTGTCTCGGCCTCCCCAGCCCTGGGATTACAGTTGTGCACCACCACACCTGGTTTCAGGGCCAGCACAGTGCACTTGGGGTTCTGGGGCTGGCACAGTGTATGGTAGCAGGGATTGAACCCAGGTTCTTAAACTTGCCAGGGAGGTGCGTGAACTGCGGAGCTATCTCCCCAGCCCCTACTCCCACTATAAAAGATTTCCATGGGTTTTTAAAATTACATTTGTTGATGTGAAGAAATGAATTAAAAATTCCTTTGACCCTGAAAGTTCTCTTTTTTCCTGACCATAGAGCCTTAGCCCCATGTCACCGGCGCCTAGTGGGTGAGTCGGCCCTGACCCCCAGCACTTAGCACAGGGCCCAGCACACAACCAGGACAGATGACTCATGGGTGGATAAGTGACGGGATTAGTAAACCAGTACAGAGGCCATGTTTAAGCAAGACAAGGCCAAGCAGCTTCTCCTGTGACGTCAAAATGTTCACGTCCCCAACCACTACTAACAGGGCTGGCAGAGCACAGCATGCAGCATGTGAGAAAATGGGTCCAAGTCAAATAGGAGGGTGATGTTTTAGGACTTCTCGGCGCATGCACTGTGGTCTGAATGTGTCCTTATGGGTAGTAATGGTTCACAGCCACACTACTCACTCGCCCATTCACCACCCATCCTCCACCCATCCATTCATTATCTGTCCATTCACCAACCCAGCAAATCAAGTAGACATAGTCTATTTTCTCATGGAAAGTACAGGATGGAAGGCGAGGGAGACAAGAAATAAATGCATAATTATAAAAAGATGTTAAGTGCTAAGAAGAAAATGGCATGGTCTGGAGAAGTCTGTCAGGCTAGGCCCCGTGGAGAGCACGGCCACCAGGACAGGCAGGATTGAAGCGCACAGTGGCATCTTATTGCCGGCTGGTCAAGGGCAAGAAGGCTGTTGACCATGAACAAAGGAAGAGAAGCTGCTTTACAGACTAACTTCGGTATGGGAGGGCTCCCTTGCTGGGTCCGGTGCCTCTGGAAGGCAGCACAGGATGCCTGTAGCCCACTTGGCTGACCTACAAAGTGGCAGGCTACACACTTAGAGGGTTTCTTGTAAGCCTGAGAACCAGGCCTGGAAGCCATCCTGATAAACAGATTTAGTTTAGTCTCTCAGGCTGAGTGAGTGGGGCTCTTCCTGCTTGAGCACAGCGGTGGCCTGTAGCTCTTTAGGTAGGGAGGAGTTCACCACAGGGATCTAACAGAGCCTGCAGCGATAGGGGCTGCTGGGGGGAAGATACTTGGCCCAGGATGCAGAGGATTGGCAGGGGAAAGTCTCCTGGGAATAGAGACGGGGAGGAGTTGCGAGGTGACGGAAAGTCTTCCCAGCATCAGGAATGGCAAGAGCACCATCCAGGCAGGGGGAGGAGGCCTGCAGAGCAGAAGAAAGGAGGTGGGGGTGAAATGGCCGGGAGTTCTGTCTGGCCTTGGACTGCAGAGGGGGTAGAGGCTGATGGTGCAGAGCCCTTGGAGTTGGGGAGAGACACTTAGAGTTACTTTGAAAGCAGAGTGGAATCTAATCAAGAAAGTGGGTTATGTTTAAATCTAGTCCTGAGAGAATGCAGAAAAAAATAAAAATCTTTAAATATAGAAAACATTCAACGTAATTATTATAGTCTTTATTAAGACCATTATCTGATTCTTGCATAAACTATAAAGCTAGTTTCTTTGAGTATCCATTTAGAAACTCATTATTGCTTAATTAAATACTCATTCTATTAATTCTATTCAATGTTTTAACCCCATTATGTAATTCAAGAATGGAAAATTAAATAGATTAAAATGAAATAGTACCATTTTACATTTCTATAGCGATGTTCACTTTGTGATTTAAAAACAATAGACAGACATTCATTTACCAAAGCAGAGCAAGAGAAATTATTGATTGTAACATCACTTCCTTTAATTGGAAAGAAGTAGATAATGTTACTTTTCTGTTAAACTATGTGGCAAATCAAATGCAAGGCATTGAGTGTATTTTGGCGCAACTGCTGTGGGCCGTTGGTTTGGACTGACACACTGAAGCCCATGAGCTCCTTCACTTCAGAAGTGAGCTCCTTCAGCCCCCGTTCTCTGAAAAGGTGGTGTGACTAACAGGCCAGCCCTTGGCAAAGAGGCTGCCTGCACTGCCACAGAGTGATCACCAGCAAGGAGGACAGCTTGGCTTCTACTGCACACCAGGAAGGAACGCTCGTGCTCACAGAGCAGGCGGGGGAAGCACCGCAGGAGACCTCAGGGGCCTGGAGTGTGCGAGGCTGCACGCTTGCCTCCTGAAGTCCAGGCCTGTGAGCTGTGAACCTGTCATGGCTCATAGCTAGATGTCCTCGAGGAGCCCCAGGTAGGGCTTTTGGAGGGTAACCGGGAGATGGGGACTTACAACTGACAGGGCCTGGAAGAAGTGGGTCCCTGGGTGTGGGGCCTGGGAGGGTATGTTTCCCTCCTCAGTGCTAGCTCCTCCTTTTCTCTCTGCTTCCTGTCTACTGAGTTCTGAGCAATTCTT